AAGAAAATTGTTATCAACGTCGGAACAAGAAAATAATGTAGTAATAATTAATTTTACAATATATACATTGCTATTACACTATTATCCTATTGCTATTACAATATTACTAAAACAAATCTCAATATACATAATAATTGTCAAAATATATAATGACAGCCGCTCAACGAAGTAAGCATAGTGAGATAACCAATCAGTATCACGGAAAAACGGTAACAAATAATTTCGAGAAATACATATAAAATCGAGTTATCGACTTAATATACCTTTTTTTAGATAGGAGATAATTAATTATATGTGATGATATTATCATTTTGGATTAACATAACGTAATTTTAAATATATATTATTTATTAAGTATAAGTATGCATTAAAATCATGAAATAATTATTAACAAGAATCTTTGAGAATAATTGATCAGACATAATTTTTGAGAGAATTATCGATGTCTATTTAAATATTGGCTAAACAAAATACGATTTTGTCATGCAATATCATTGTAATTACAGGTATTTGAACAATATCGAAACAATGTCGGCAATCGTGCGGGACGAATTGGTGAAACCTACAAACAGGGCAATGTGGCATGTGGAACACGTATTGAAATTTCCAAACTCGAGACATTTACGATATCATGGACACGATATGTCATGGACACATTATTACGCAACGTATCTGTGCTTGAGTATATACTTCGCTTTATTAATATGCATCAATTACATATTGTACAACACAATTGTTAGTGCTTTTATAAAAATCAAATGCATAAGTATTTTAAAACAATGGATAAGCAATTGGAAACAAAAACTCGATTAATATATATAAACATATGTACAATACGAAGCAATGAAGCAAAAATTAATCATATGTAAAAAAAGAGAATTTTATTGTATGAATATTCCTTTTGTGTTATGCCTATAATAAACAAATAATTAAATTGCTCATAATAAAATAATACCTAAATGTTATATACTTTTGTATTGCATTATTTTTTTATTTATTCGAAATAATTCATCAAACTTTAAAAAAATGAAGAATATTTTTTGGAAATATATATTTATTTAATCAACAAATCATATAAAGAGTAAATTAAATATCAATGAAAAATTAAAGGAAGGAAGTGTATCGCGATCGAATTTCATTTTTCTGACATTTGCTACATTGTCGATAAACAATAAGCGATTGTATAAAGTCCCGAGTTTATCGACAAAAGCTATGTTTGAATCGATTTATTATATTGCAACTATATACCTTACATGCCGACACCTAATTATATTTTTAAACGGATAAAATTTTTATATTACTATTTGATAATATAACATAACATTAAAAATAGATTTTATATGTATATGTTACGGGCGAAGTCCGCATGGTGTGCAATGTCGGCATTGCCCGGGCCGTGTCATTGCATAACGCTATTGGGCAAAGCTGCTAAAATGATTTTATTAACGGACATAGCCCAGTTTTGTGTGGACAAAGTCAACATTGCCCATCCAGCAGTGTCGGTCAATATTATATTTTATTGCGGACTTAGCCCGGTTCCATAAGTGGGCAAGACAAATGCAATTCAATGAAGTATGCCTTCGCGCATACACTTTACAATGCAAAGCGAGGTCTCACATGGGTTTACAATTTTTTACGCGAAACGAGGTCTACCCCACACTAAGAAATAGTTTTTTTGTTTACAGAAATAAAAAGTACACAAATGAATTATTAAATAGCCCACTTGGAACTGAGCTAAGTCTGCAATAAAATAATAGTGGCTGACATTGCCAACGTTGGATGGGCAGTATTGACTTTGCCCACACAAAACTGGACCATGTTCACTAATAAAATCATTTAGCAGCTTTGCCCAATTGCGTTGTGCAATGTTGACACGGTCCGGGCAATGCCGACTCTGCACACCATGCGGACTTTGCTCGTAACATATATATAAATATATATGTATAATGTAGCAAAAAGTAAAATTGTCAATTACTAATTTTTTATTTTAAATTACAATTTTATATATAAACAAAGAATGGAAATTAAATTAATATTATTTATCGTTAGATGTGCAAACAGAAGAAATCTTCATAATTAAATCTTATTTTGATTAAGGCAATCCTAACCCTCACATCGAATATTTTACTAAGGTTACAATTAAGAGGATGCTAAAGCCGTCTATTTTATCAACAAAAATACCATTTTTGTTGGATACAAAATACTTCGTATTAATCGCATAGAATAAAATTTCCTTTTCCAAAATAAATTTGATTGAAAATTCCAATTGGAATTTTATGTCAATATATATTTCAGCAACTTTATGAAATAATCTTACATTAAAATATTGTTGAAAATTAATGGATTTTCTTTTAAAATTATAACAATTATTACGCGCATAATTAATGTTTAATCGCAACGACGTATACTTGCATGATAATTTAGTATTATAAAATTATGCAGCGTCCGATATAGTATATATATATATAATACGACATACAACATAGAATATGTTATCCAATAAGAGAATTCAGGATTTCAAGGAAAATTGAATTCTCTATTATGCAAAAATAAGTAAACATTATAATTTGTTTGTAATTATAATTGTGTTTTATATATAGATACTATATATTCTCTCTCTCTCTTTCTCTCTCTCTCTCTCTCTCTCTCTCTCTCTCTCTCTCTCTCTCTCTCTCTCTCTCTCTCTCTCTAGAATGTAATACTATAATAATCAATAAAATTTTTTAGCAATAAAACAAAAAATTGTTTTTTGTTTGCACATCAATATAATATTGTATAAATATTAGTATAACTTGCAAGGTTTCTGGGATGTTAATAGAATGATCGAGTTTGGACGAACATTTTTATGTTATTGGGAGATTATAATAGTATATTTATTAATCTTTGTGTAAAGTTACCACCTTACAATTTTAAGTTGTGGTAACCTTATTCAGATGGTCATGTATGTATAGTCATCGGCTAAAAAGTTGCAACACTTTTTTTATAATTATTTTCGGAACATAGTTTATTCACCGAGCGATTGGTTTCTACCAATGGATCTAACCAATTATGTTCAACCGCTCCACAAGCAAAACTGCATTCCAAAACCCATCAAAATAAAAAGTGTTGCAATCTTTTAGCAGAGAGGATCCGAGAGCGGACATG